TCAAAGCCCAGCTGTGTAATCTTTCTCCATCTTCTGAATTCCTATCACTCATTTGGCAACACTGTTGGGGCAGTTAACCTGTACTGTTTTTAGGACATATCTCATGTTTTTATTTACTTATTATTTTGTTTTTTTAAAATAAATTTTTATTATCTTGTTTTTCCATCACCTAAATTTACCAGTTATCTTTTCTTCTCCTACTTCCAAAACAGCCATCTCTTATAATCAAAAATATATTTTTTAAACAAGAAAAAGGGGAATGAGGTAAATAATAGCAAAATCTATCAAAATTATGGACTACATATTCTATATCTGTGGGTACCACACTTCCAAAAGGAGGTAGGGAGGTGTCTTTTCCTGTCTCTTCTTTTTGGTCAAGTTTGTTTCTTTGTGATTTAGCGATGTCTAAACCACTCATCTCTACCTCCAATTTGGCAATTAATTTATAGTGCCTTCTGACATCTTTGGTGTTTTGGTTGATTGTCATTGTTAAGTGAGATAATAATTGTAAATCACTTAGCATAATGCCTGGAAAATAGTAAACTCTATGTAAATGTTAGTTATTAGGGGCAGCTAGGTGGCGCAGTGGATAGAGCACTGGCCTTTCAGGAGGATTCAGGAGGACCTGAGTTCAAATGCAACCTCAGACACATAACACTTACTCACCATGATCTTGGGCAAGTCACTTAACCCCATTGCCTAGCCAAAAACAAAAAAAAAGGTAAGTGTTAATTATTGTTGTTGGTGGTTTTGTTTCAACTTTCTATGGATTCATGCCTTGTCCCTTGAGCCATACTGAAGGTTCCTTGAGATCAGGCATGATATGTTGTACTTTTTTGTTATATTCAACTACAACATTACTAATCATGGTTGGCATTTATAAATCACTTCATAGTTTGTAAATCCCTTTATGTTAACGACATTGTACATGTGAAGTGCTTTGCAAACCTTAAATGGTATATGTATCAGTTATTATTAATATGATGATGATAATTCCCATTTTATAGAAAAGAAACTGAGGTGTAGTGTAATATTTTCATTCACTTAATAAGAATTTATTCAATGCCAGCTTTGTGTCAGGCAGTATATTTGGCACAGCAAATATAGAGACAAAACTGGAGATAATCCCTACTCTCACGTAATTTGCAATCTGCCGGGAGAGATAATTTGTACAGAGATGTCAGTATGAAATATAGACCTAGTACATACAGAATCACTTTTTCAAGGAAAGGGTACAAGCAACTAAGTGATTAAGGGAAAGCCTCTTGACGCAGGGGACACTGAGTCCCCTTGAGGAAACTGGGTAGTCTGTACTCTGGTTAAATGACTTGCCCTGGGTCACACAGCTTTTAGAGGCCTGATTAGAGCCTAATTCCCTTCTGGCTCTGTGTCTAGCACATTTTCCCATATATTCTACTTCCTTACCACGCTGGCTGCCAAACTCCATGACCATTTTTAATTTCCTACTGTGTTTTTGTTGTTTGGTTATTTCAGTTGTGTTCGACTCTTTGTGACCCCTTTTGGGGGTTTTCTTGGCAAAGATATTGGAGTGGTTTGCCGTTTTCTTTTTCAGCTCATTTTACAGATGAGGAAACTGAAGCAAAGAGGATTAAGTGACTTGTGCAGGCAAGTAAGTATTAGAGACTGAATTTGAACTCAGGTCTTCCTGACTCTATCCACTGTGCCACCTACCTGTACTGACTATTGTGTACAACACACATTATATCACTCACAATGCTTGCCTGACAAATATCGGCAAGAGTTGTCTTTACTTCAGTTATCTGCCCTATTTCTAGCGCTTATCTCATACCCAGAATCCCAATTATCATGCCCAATCTAGAGTTTATTATACTGATTTTTGTCTTATTATGCCCTGCTGGAATGAAGGGGAGATGACATTTTAATACTGGCCTGGAGACAGATTAGTGAGACAACTAGAGATGTGCATTGGTTACTGAGCTCTATGTATTTTCTTCCAAAAATTTGTAGGGAAAAGATCCTTGTGAATATAAAGCCTGGAACACACTAGTGAAAGCTACTATTACTAATAAGAGCTAATATTTATATCACACTTTAAAGTTTACAAAGCACTTTACATATATTATCTCATTGGATCCTGACAATAACAATCCTGAGATGGGGTGAGGAAATTAAATCATTAGCTAGACTGTGTATAGCACTTTAAGATATGTAAATCACTTTACAAATTGTATATCATTTGATTTTCGCAGCAACCCTAAAAGATAGGTACTATTATTACCCCCATTTTACAGATGAAGAAACCAAGGCAGATGGTAGTTAGGTGACTTGCTCAGGGTCACTCAGCTAGTAAGTGTCTGAGGTCAAATTTGAACTTGAGTCTTCCTGGGGGTGGCTCTACCCACTGAGCCACCTAGCTACCTCTAAGGTCCTAAGGTCACTTGATGCTAATGACAAAATGAAACCAGTCAACACTCATTTATTAAGTCCCACCCTGTGCCATTATAGTAGGTGCTGGGGATATAAAGAGAAAAGATAAAAAGGTCCCTGTTTTCAAAGAACTTACATTCCATCAAAGATAATGGTGTCATTACTCCCGTTAATTAGAATAACAGAGAGGTTATTGCTGACATACCAGAGAATGTTCAGAGGAAAGCAACTAGAAAGCTGAAAGGCTCTCAGGTTCATAATGTAGTAGAATCGATTGATGGGACCAGAGATGTAGCTTACTTCTAGACTCAGCTCAAATACCACCATTATGGAGGCCTTTCTGGGGCCTCCAACCTCCCAGAGCCTTCCCCCTAAGGAAGGGAATCTTTACTCCCTTTTTCTATGTATAGACTACTTTGATGGTCTGGTGAAGCCCATGGCCCACTTCTCAGAACAATGTTTTTATTGGGTTTTGTTTGTTTGTTTGTTTGTTTGTTTTTTGTTTTGTGCTAGGCTGTGGGGTTAAGTGACTTGCCCAAGGTCACACAGCTAGTAAGTGTTATGTGTCTGAGACCAGATTTGAACTCAGGTCCTCCTGAATTCAGGGCCAGTGCTCTATCTACTGCGCAACCTAGCTACCCTAAGAATAATATTTTTAATGTATAAAATATGTCAGATAATAAAGGAAACTAACTACATTGAAATGGAGTCATCAAAATACTTTTAAAAAACAAATACCTGGACCCCAACTTAAGGTCACCTACAATCTTTTGGTACTTACATCTTGTATATACCAATTTATGGACATGTTTCCCCCCATTAGACTGAGCTCCTTGAGAACTGGGTCTTTTTTGGCCTTTCCTTGAATCCTTACCTACCACTCAGTCTGGCTCCCAGTAATCACTTGCTGATGGGTTGATGAAGATGTGGTGTATGAAAAAGGGATTGATTAGTTTTTGTTCTGACTTTCCCCATAGGGCAGAACCAGAAATACCGAGTGGATGTTCAGAGAGGAAGGTAAATGTTTGATTTAAAGAAATGCTTCCTAATATTTAGGGCCATCCAAGATGGAAATGAGTGGCCTTGGGAGACAATGCATTCCTTCTCACTGGAGGACCTCTACCAGAGATTGGATGACAACTTGTTGGGTCAGTTGTAGAGGAGAATCTTTTTTAGGACTGGGTGGCCCCAAGGCCCCTTCCAACTCCCTGTATATAGTCTATGGGCCCCTAGATGGTACTCCTCTGTTTGGCATTCAAAGCCCTTCACAGCCAGGCCTCAGCTCACCTGCCCAACCTTTCTACACATCCCTCCTGGCACTCTCTGTACCAGCCATGTTGGCCTGATTCCTGTCCCTCACACGCAGCACGCCACCTCCTATCTCCATGCTTCTTCTCTGGCATACTTTCCAGAATATCGTCCTTCTTCGCCTCTGCCTCTGAGAATCCCTTGTTTCCTTCAAGACTCAGCTCAGATGTCTTCTTCTGTTGGAGGCCTTTCCCAGATGCCTCAGATGCTAGTGCCTTCCCTCTGAAATGTATGTTTTATGTTTTGTCTCTACCCATATATGTTTGTGTGTATGTGTCTCCCCCGTTAAGTGGAAGCTTCCTGAGGTCAGGGATCACTTTACTTTTGTCTTTGTATCTCCGTCACTTAGTATGGTGTGTGGTCTGTAGTGGGCACATAATTAGCACTTGCCGATGTCTATGGGCACCCAAAGCAGCCTAGTGTGGGGCGCATCACCTGGATCTCTTTCTAAGCATCCTCTTTCTGATGCTTACTGTGCTGTGTGACCCAAGGCAAATCATTTCATTTCTTGGGGTTACAGTTTCCCCCTCTGAAAAATGAAAGAGCCAGACTCAATGATCTTTAAGATCTGCTTTCTTCTGTGATCTCAGTTTCCTCATTTGTAAAATGAGGTCCACTTCAGCCTGTTGTCGTTGTTGGGTCATTTCAGTTGTGTCCAACTCTTAGTGACCACATTTGGGGTTTTCTTGGCAAGGACACTGGAATGGTTTGCCGTTTCCTTCTCCAGCTCATTTTACAGATGAGGAAAGTGAGGCAAATAGGGTGAAGTGACTTGTCTAGGGTCACACAGCTAGTAGAGTCTGAGGCCAGATTTGAACTCAAGAAGGTAGCCCTCCTGACTCCAGGCCCAGCGCTCCATGCACTATGGTACCACCTAGCTGCCCCAGCTGAGCCTTGATGACTTCAAGGTCTACCTTCTTGGGTGATCATATGTAAGTCACTTAATCCTTCTGGGCCTCCATTTCCTCATCTTTAAAAGAAAGTTTTGGGCTAGATGATCTCTGGAGATGCTTGTAGAAACAAAGGAAAATCATTCAGAATGAGCTGTGAACAGGCCCCCAAATTCTGTAGCCCGCTGCTTTTCTTTCCAGATGCCTCTAGCCATCTGAAACATTGTAAACTCTTGATGTGGACAGGCTGCCTGCCATCACAGATGCAAAGAGAAGGATAAAGAAAATGTCAATATGTTCCTCCTTCCCTCACCCAAGGTGCCCCTACAGCACTCCAGCGCATCCAAAAGACCTTCCCAGCAGTTCCAGAGAATCTGGAGATCAGTCGATTAACTAATATTTATTAGATGCAGGATATGTGCCAGGCACTGTATTGAGCTCCAGAAAGACAAAGGCATGTTCCTTGCCTTCAAGGAGTCACATTCTGTTGGGGGAGACAAGAAGTAAACAGTTAAATACAAATACAAACACACACACACACACACACACACACACACACACACACACACACACA